TAATAGTTAGTAAAATAATATAGGAAGTTTTACAAAAATTTAATCAAAGAGGTGAAATAGATATATATATATATATATATATATATATATATTATTTTCACTCTTACTATTTAATAATAGTACTGAGTATTAAGCTAACAATTAAATGCATCTTGCCTTGAGTTATAATATATATATAATATATATATATAAAGTGTGGCATGAAGAAATAAAAATACATCTGTCCGCGCAATTTTTTTCCCACGTTTTGTTAAGATTTTGGCACGATTGTGCTGAGTCACGCTGTTACAGAGACTTTCTACCAGACAGTGGGTGAGAAAGTGGTCACGCCACGTAAAAAAAATATGGGACAAAACAGTAAGCATTGGAGAGAAAAAAATAAAGTGTTTGAAATGCTTATGTGGCCCATAAATATTTAACTCAACAGTCTGTAGATGCTCTTAGGATATATAACGTTGTTTTTCAGTTGTCTCTTTCTGCTAATTTTGCTTCAGTGTATGAGCTGGTGCCTGTGCTTTTATTATGTTTGTAGGGCCTTGAGCATACAATTGCAGGGACCAGTCTTTATGTTGTGGGGCCACATGATGATTTGGAAGACATCAAAGAAGCAGCTGTGGAAGATATGAAGTCAGTAATGAGTAGAATTGACATAAGTGGTGAGGGGGTCTATGTTCAAGCGTCTACTCTTGGGTCGTTAGAAGCATTGCTGGAGTTCTTGAAGACTCCGGTAGTTAATATACCTGTCAGTGGCATAAGCATAGGGCCAGTACACAAGAAAGATGTAATGAAGGCGAGTGTGATGCTTGAGAAGAAAAAAGAATATGGGACAATATTGGCTTTTGATGTTAAAGTAACCCAAGAAGCTCGGGAGCTAGCTGATGAGCTTGGTGTAAAGATATTTATTGCGGACATTATTTACCACTTATTCGATCGATTTAATGCTTACATTGTTAATCTCAAGGAAGAGAGGAAGGAAGAGGCTTCTGACGAAGCAGTTTTTCCATGTGTCCTCAAGATAATGCCAAATTGTGTGTTCAACAAGAAGAATCCCATTCTCTTGGGAGTTGATGTCCTTGAAGGCACAGTGAAGGTAATATGTTTTCTTAATCTCTGTACATGGATGTCCTTTGCATGGTTTTAACAATGGATATAATTTATTGGTGGTTGGCATCATAAGTTGCATATGTTTGGATTCACTTTGGATGGCTTTATTTCCAGAAACAAAACTAATTTGCATCTTATCCTCCACTGCATTTCCATCCTGGTGCACTGTAGTTTCTAATATTTCTCAAGAGTACGTCATCAAAACACCCAAAACCAACTTCAAGTTTTCTTTTATTAGTTGTTGACATTGTGTAATGTTGAATATTAGGTGGTGACATAAGTGTTTCTTTTGGTGATATGCTGAGTCATAAAAACCATGATGCTTTTGTTCCAATGTTGTATACTGCTCCCCTCTGTGTCTCTTGTATGTTACCGTGTTCATGACATGTGTTATGCCCGCATGCTGATTTTTCTTTTTCAGCAATGGGCATCTTTATAGTTTTGTTCGATATTTGAGGTGTGTAGAATCTACTTCTAGCCTCTATCCATCAAACAATTTTCCATATATTTTATTCTCACAATTTTTGGTCTTTCCGGCCATTGCTATCATATATACATTTCCTTTCTATTGAACTGTTATTTTTTAACCCATTGTACAGGTTCGGACTCCTATATGTGTTCCTCAAAAAGATTTCCTTGAAATTGGTCGGATAGTTTCTATTGAGAATAATAACAAGCGACTTGATTATGCCAAGAAGGGCCAGAAGGTGTCCATTAAGGTATATATATGACTTTTTTGTGATGCTTAGTTGCCAAACTGCTTGTTCTTTATACTGTAGGAGATACGTTGAACTAAATGCCAGTGAGTTACTTTTACAATCTCAGAAAAGGTTTTCTAACATAGTTTGCTCTTCTTAGATGAACGAGAACATCTGTCGACTCCATCTATCCATGTGCAACCATGGACAGTGGATACCACATGTTAAGATAATTTTTCTACTGGACCTTGGAGAACTTGCACAACTCTGTCTTCTTCTTATTGTTTAGAATATCAAAGCATGGGATAAATACATCAATTTATGTTAGAGCCTTGATTTAGGGTGAATCAATTAATTTAACAGTGTGAATAGTGAAATTTTGAAGACTGGGTCTTTAAAGCTATGATATCAGTTGTGTCGGTCATCAATTTATACGTTTGTAAGAAAATCCACCCTCCCTGTTATTACTCTGTTACTGATAGAAATTTATTCGTGCACAATGGCTCATTTCATTATTTATTCTATTTCTTTTTGTGTTATCTTTTTTTAACATAGATGTGCTATTTTTCTTCATAGATTACTGGCACCAATCCTGAGGAACAGCAGAAGATGTTTGGCAGGCATTTCGAGATGGAGGATGAGCTTGTGAGCAAAATCAGTAGAAGCTCACTCGACGCTGTCAACGAAAATTACAAGGTATGTCTATTTATAGTTCATGCATCTCATTGCTCACCATACATCATAAATACATAATTTGAAAACCACCCGTGATATTTCGCCTAGTTGCGAAAGGTGTGTTTTATATTTGTTTTGCATATTACCAGTCAGAAATTGAAACATATATTTATATATTTATATATGCGCTTTTCGGAAGATCACTAGACCTTTCCTCGAATTCAAACTATTTCTCACTACTTCCTTCACCACATCGTTTTATGGAAAAGTAAACGTACTCCTTTCTATTGAATTGAAATGTGTACAGGATGATTTGTCTACTGAAGAGCAAGAGCTATTGTCTAAACTGGAAAAGCTCTTCAAGATAACGTGATTTCTCCAGAACTGGACTTTGTGTATTGAAAAGTTATAAAAGTTCTGAAAAAAATATTCTGAGAATATTCTTTTGGGTTTGAGAATGAGTTTTCGGTCAGAGATGAATTACTGTTTGACAAGACAGTTACTGCAAATTGGGGTTAAGAATGAGTTTTTCTGTTGGAGATGGTCTAAAGGACCTTTGATGAGATGCACCAGTTACTGTTTGACAAGACAGTAAGTTAGTAACTGATCGGGAGAGGTTTTTTTTTTTTTTTTTTACTGTATTTCTCTTCTAAATAAATAGATAAGACTGGATGTTTTTAACAGTTTCAGCAGTGTTGTGATGAGCTTGATCCATTAGTCTAGTTCAGATTGTGTTTCATCAAAATTTGAATTTTTAGGTTGCAAAATTGAAATTCTCGAAAATTGAATGCTGCAAATTATAATTTCTTTTCATGAATTTTAAATTGTATTTTATTGAGAAGTAAACTATAGATATAAATTAGGGAAAAATGAAATTTTTACGTTTTTTACGTTTGCAATTTAAAGTTTTCTTTTTTCGCAATTTAAAATAATAAAATTCATGAAAAAAATAATTTGCAACCTTGATTGCATACACGTTTGGTTTTCCAAAAAATTCCAGAGTGGAGAAATTCTATGGAGCCATCATAACTTTATGTTTTGATGCATGTCCAATGTGTATTTATTGCAGGACACATGTCAATACACCATTTGTGAATAACTATGGATGACTTCATAAGACGAGCCATCCGATGACTCCATAGCAAAATTGTCAGAATCAATGAGTTTCCAAATTAGGTTGCAAAATTGAATTTTCTCAAAAATTTCAATATTGCATTTTATTGAAATGTAGATTTTAGGTTGCAAAAGGAAAATGTTCGCGTTTTTTTCTTTTGCAATTTAAACTTTTTAAAAAAAAAAAAAAAAATGGGTCAAATGCAATTTATAATTAATGACAACATTTATAATTTGCAACCTTGGTTGCGTTTTCCAGATGATTCCAGAGTCAATATGAGTTTGCAAATTATAGATTTTTGTGAATTTGTTCGTGTTACATTTAAAAAATTACTTTAAATACAAAAGGTAATAAAAAAAAAAGAAATTTTTATGTCTCCTGCATGAAATAGAAAATATTATAATTATACCGTTGATAATCAAATAATTCTAAATCAACCTTAATAAGGATTCTTTACTGCATTTAAACCTAAAAGCAGTTACATAACCCCGCGGCCCTCAATCCCCCAATTCCCACATGATATCCGGTAAAAAAAAAAAATTGTTTGATGTATATGGAATGAAAATCAGATATTAAAAAATTGTTACCTCACTTTTATGCAACATGAAATGTGATTTTACACACGCACAAATCTTTTGTCTAAATATTGAATGTATATTTAATATATATACATAAAATAAACCATAAAAAATGTTTATATGCCAAAAATATACTGAATATAAACCATAAATATATAAAAAAATTAGATTATGCTTGTTTTAATCTGTTTTTGAATATTTTTTTAGTATATGTTGAGTTTACGTATTGTTTATTTTACTTTTATGCTTTGTAAACAGTTTTACTAAAAAATAAACCACACATATACACAACAAAAAGACCTTATTTATTTATATTAATGCCTAAAGTAACTCGCGCAGTTGCGCAGGTGGGTATATATTGCGTTTATGTTAGTATATATTTTGTATATGTTGCAATGAAAACATGTCTTCCATAAAAGATTATGTACATATACTATACATATATTGATCATAAAATAATCGAGAGAGATAAAAACATGTATTATGTACATATACTTTACATATACCGACCATAAACTAATTTGCGACAAGGAACAGGTGTAATCTCTCCCAAGTCTCACCGTCTTCTCGGTTTTTTTCACGACAAGGGACAAGTGCCACCAGATTTGCGACCTCCGACCTCCGAATTAGCGGCAACCCTCTTGATTTTCCGCCACAAATCAGCGTGTCCTCTTGAATTTTTGCATTGAATCGGTGAGTGCTTTTTTTTTTTTTTGTTGCAGAGTGATAAGAGTCTTTTTTCCGGATTTGTAGTAGCATCTAATTTGGGATAAAAATCCTTAAATGTGAATCCTTAAATGTGAGTTAACTATATCAATTAAATTAAATGCCCGAAATTTGCCATATAACAGTTGTTATTAATTCCTCTTTGTATTATTAAACGGGATGGTTTGGTAATATTATAAATAAGAATATACTAGTTAATGCAATATTATAAATAAGAATATACTAAGTGTATTAATGTAATATAGTTAATGTGCTGCATTAAGGGATTCAAATTCCTCTTTGTATTAACTAGAAATATTGTAAAGCAAAAAAACAAGGGAAATTTTTGTCTATGCTATAAGATATAAAAGTATTTTCAATTTTACCTTAATATAAAAGTATTTTCAACAATACCTAAACCAACTATTTTATTTAAGGGATTGCAT